TCTGTCATCTACTTTGGTCTTCTCTTCTTTTCTTGTCTTTTTAGTGATCTCTTGCTTTCTTCATGGATAATGTTCTTGATATTCTCCCACAATTCTTCTGGTTTTTGGTCACTGGTGTTCAATGCATCAAATCTATTCTGTAGTGATACTGCCTCAGAAACCCAAGGAGGGGGTCGCTATGAGTCGGGTCGGACTCGACGTCATATAACAACAACAACAACAACAACTCATTGATGTTATCTTCCTGGCCTCTGTGGTGAACTGAATTTGCAGACCATGGCCTGTTATATGGCAAATATTGGGTTAGGTGCTAGGGATACAGGAGAATGAGGTACAGCATCCTTTTTGGGAGAAGTCACACTTTATTGGGGATGCAGACATATTACAAAGGATTGCAAAAAAGAAAAGTTATGAAAAGAGAAGAGCAATGTCTGTTGGAATGAGGAAAGGTTGCATAGAAGAAGTGGCATTTGAATTGGATAATGGATAAGGAGTTGGGAGTTTTTGCAGGCAGAAAATGTAAGGAACAATATTTTAGGACAATAGAACAGCACTCTCAAGACATAAGCATATGAAAGGCCATGAAATGGTCAGAAAATCACAAGTAGGGTATGTGGGAAAGATGTCTGGACAGGAAGCTAGAGTAAGTCTGGGTGATGGGAAGCTGGCTTTGCGTGTCTTCCCAAAGGTGTTTCCTTTTATTTTGTAGATATTGTGAAAGAAATTAAAAATTAATTTCCTTAATGAAAGATCAAGATAATCATATGTCTATTACAGAAAGATAAATCTGTTAACAATGTGGAAATTAAACAGGAAGCTAATGCATCCAGATGAGTGGTTTTTGAGGGCAAACCTATACAATGGAAACAGCATCAACAGGACAAAGGAGGAGACCTATTTGAAATATGTTCGGGAGGTATAAATGGTGGGGCTTAGAAGTATATAGGAAAACGAGAGGAACAATCAAGGATGTTTTGATTTATCATGTAAAAGTACAAAAAGCACTTTAAAAAGAAATTAAAAATTATAAGGATTTATCACTGATATGAATCAATGTTCCATAAGTGACTTAGTATTTAATCTCTAACTTTAAAGCATTATTGTAAGCCTGTTTTTTCTTTCTTTAGTCTTTCACACAAATATACTTGTAAATCAGTGTTCCAGTGCATACCTGATTCTGCTGAACACAGGGGATGACCTCCAAATTTTATGTCAGTTTGGCGCAGCTTGGTCATATTTAGCAGCTGTGTGACTTGTGGAACATCTGTTGTTAGTTGGCAGCTTCGCGGAATAACGTCTGTAGGTTCATCTGTTGGAAAAGGAACACCATATACAGCTGGAAATAAAGACAAACACTGATTCCCAAAATGTAAGCCATTTCTGCCAAATGGACTCTTATCTTATAAATAAAACCAATTAAAGTAAAATATTTTAGAGTATGATCCTGGGCAAACTGTTCAATCTTCCGGTCTCAGTTTCTTATTTGTAAAATGAACATTACTTCCTAGAGTTGTAGAAAGGATTAAATGAGTGTGCAATAAATAAGGGCATTCATTGGAAATACTTTATATTTGTTTTTAATACTAGATGTGTGACTTCCGAGAAGATCTAGTTAACTATGATTCAATCAACATTCTGGGAGTATATCTGATCAATAAGTACACAGTGGCATTACTGAATAAGCTAAGCACTCAGAGACACTGGATGAGTAAATTATTTTTTGAACATCAATTGTGAAAAAAATTTAGACTCACAGAAAAGTTACACACATAGTACACAGTTCCTATATATTCCTTACCCAGTTTTCCATCATGTTAACATCTTACCTATATTTAAATTTTCCTTTCAAATACTTTGAATACTACTAAAAGTTGTATTTTTTAAATTATAATTTATACTTCTAATGAGATTTAATATCATATACATTGATATGGATACTTTTTCTTTTAAGCAAATTTTCTATTCATGTTTTTAACCCATTTTAATATTGTTTTTTCTTATTTACTTGTATGACCTCTTTTACATTTTCCCTTGTCATTGGTAGCAAGTGGGAATTAAACTGGTACTACTCTAATGGTGTAGTGCCTAAGGCATTTGACTGCTAACCAGAAGGCTGTGGTTCAAACACACCAGCCACTCCTCAGAAGGAAGGTTGGGCAATCTCCTTCTGTAGTGATACCCTCGGAAACCCAAGGAGAGGTTGCCAGATCCTACTCCACAGCAGTGGTTGTGTTGCATTTACCATCCCAGAAAGCAATTTTACTCTATGTATATGAAAAGCCTTAAAAATGTCCAGATCATTTTACTTAGAAAACCACTTTATGAATGCATTCTAAGGTTAAAAACAAAAACAAAACACAAACCAGAAATTCAAATATCTAAATAAATAGGTGTTTACAATTTCTGAGTAATAAACAACTTTAATCTCCAGCACTTGAGAAGGTTTTATACACATTATAGCTTCATGGAACAGGGCAAAAAAGAGTCACAATAAATTCTATTTATAAAGGTATCTTAATGATATGGGAAAAGTTAAAGGTAAGAAATTAAATGAGAAATGCAAGTATAAAACTATTTCAATTGGAGAAAAAAATATATAAATTGTATGAATGGCAAAAAAACAAAAACAAAACAAAAAAACCTTGAAGGAAATACACCAAAATGTAGGGTAACTTTAGATGGTTAGATTAAGCATAGCTTTATTGTCTGATTCATAATAATTTCTATATACACTTAACTTTTATGTGTAAAGTTTTCCTTTTTAGCATCTAGTGGAAATAAAACTTATATGAATATGTGTACATGTCAGGAATAATAAAAATCCAACTAATCATTGCTCAAAAAAAATCCTTATGTAAGTATAAACCCTCACCATGTTTATAAAGGCAAATGTTGGATTTATAAGCACCCAAACCATGGAAATTTCCTAATTAAATCCTAATTTCCTAATCCTGAAAAGGAAAATGAATCATTTAACTAAAGATGTAAATACTCATTCACAATATAAGTTTCTAAATGTCCTAATGCTTAAAAAAAAAAAAAACCTAAAAATACCAAACCCACTGCCACTGAGTCAATTCCAACTTACATAACTCTATATAGGACAAGAGTGCCCTGGACTATTTCCAAGGCTATGAATCTTAACAGAAGCCTTTTGGTAAGCAGCCAAGTGCATCACCACTGTGCTGCAAGGGCTCCTCCTAATGCATGAGTCATTAAAAATACATTAGATTTACCAATTTTAGTTTTCAGGTATTATTTGTTTGTCCACTCCTTGTCACAGACATTTAGAAAATCAATGTTTTTGTTGTTGTTACTGCTGTCAAGTCGGACCTGACTCATAGTGACCCCTTTTTGGGTTGCCGAGGCAGTATCACTATGAAAGTAGATTGCCCAACCTTCCTTCCGAGGAGTGGCTAGGGGGTTTGAACCGCCAGCCTTCAGGTTAGCAGTCAAGGGCCTTAGGCACTATGCTACCAGAGCTCCTAGAAAATCAATAGAAGTGAGTAAATGAACTCTACCAAAATAGTAAATGTTTTGAAAAAATAAATTAACTCCAGATATTTGACATATCATTTCAAACTCCTGAGGTAGAAAATGATAATTATCATATCAATGACAATACTGATAAACTAAGATTTTTAAGCAAATTCTAGAGGCCCATAAGAACAGTGCTGTTACCGAGACTCTATAAGGTTAAATCACTGATATGTTAGCTTACAGAGCTTTTGTGGATGACATAAGGTAAAATACCATACAAAATTTAAAATACATACCCCAAAACAAGGGAGCTCTGGTAGCACAGTGCCTAAGGCACCTGACTGCTAATCAGAAGGCTGGCGGTTCAAACCCACCAGCCACTCCTCGGAAGGAAGATGGGGCAATCTACTTCCACAGTGATACTGCCTTGCTTACTCACTGATCTGCACTGAACACGTTCCCTTGTTACCCTACCGAGAGGGACCAGGTCTTCGGGAGCAAGGTAAGCACGGGCGTAGCAC